TTGTATTGTTTTGGATAATTTTTCTTCTATTTTCCCATGTAAAACCAAACATTGGAAAATTAAATTTTTACACTTTCTCATCCCATCCCATCCCATCTTTTCCCATCTCACCCAAATCTTCCTACAAATCAAACGGAGCCTCAGTGGTGTTTTGCTTTTTTCTCACTTTTACATTCTGGTCTTATGTTTGTTTTTTCTAATGTGTATTGCGTTGTAAGGTATATATTCTTACAAAGGCCACTTTATGAATTGTTTTATTCTTCTTCTTCTTTTTTGTGTATGTGTATACGGCCTGAGCTCCCTCCACTATGACTATGAGTTTTCTCCACTTTATTGTTGTTTCGTTTTACCTTCTACATTATGAGTTTTATGTTTCTTGATAAAATGTGAAATGTGATATAATTGCATAACAAGGATTTACTACAAAGTGAAAAAAAATTTCCCTTGTAGAAACATGTCTTCGAAAAGGTCACCTTCACCATTTGTTATAAGGGATACTTTAATTTTGGTGAAGTTAAGCTTTTAGTAGATGGTGATTGGTGGATTATATCTGGAAGTAAGACTCCACAATTAGTGGTAGTGAAGAGTTGGTGACCGAGGAGGCAACCACATGGCTAAAGGACTTTTTTAAAGTGAAAATAGAGGATTTTAGTTATTCTGACTACTAGTATTACTTCTATAGATGCCAAGAACAAGAGGCTGAGGTTAGTGGGTTAAAAGCTGAAATCGAGCATATAAAGTAAAGAAATGCCAAATGAGCGAAGCAAGGAACTGGGGTAGGATATTGACCATTTGAAGGACCAAATGGGGTCTATTCTTTCCGACAATGAATCTAGGGTATCCTAAGTCATTCTTTCGCTGCATTCCATCCCTTATTTCATTGGAGTTGATATAGGCGCTTATAGCTCGGACCACTGGCACGCACGTGTGTGGCGGAAGGCGGCACGTAGAGCGGATCCAATGAGAGCGTGTGCAGAGCAGAGGCCGGCGTGCGATACAGTGCCAATAGAGCAGTCACCACGTGCGGCCTCGGATGGCCATGCCTTCAAGGCTGGACCGCATCTTGGCCGTCTACGTTCACCTACCTCGAGGCAGTCTTAAGTATAAATAGGGAGTGACCCTCCAAAGTGAAGATCTAGACTCTTTACTGCTAAGAACCTCATTGCCTCCCTCATGGTCTCGTTTGAGCATCCCAACCCCACGCCTCATCCACCTATCATCACACCCGTACTAATTTGAATGTCGGAGTCTCTGCCTCGAGCCAACACCTAGGGCCTTTGACATTCTCTCTCTCTCTCCACAGATCTAACCTACCAGCCCTCGGCCGGAGTGGTCCTCGGACATTTTGGAATTGATTTATCAATAGTCATAGCTAATACTATTTTTTCATAACTGAAATTCCCTTATGCTATTGGCCCATGAATACATTTTCATATTTTGGTAGAATTGCTTATTAAGGTCCTATCTTCCTTTATTGGGTTCACTACACATGCAATGTTGCCAAGAATTGAAGAAATAAATCATAAGGAGCCGTTGGATAATGGCTGAAGTTGTTGAACTGAAAGATTTATTGTTTTATATTTTAGTTAATAAAATAATTATGTTAATAAAACTTTCAAGGGTATAGTGATGTATCCAATTTCAATTTCACCCATTATGGAGCCCACAGCCTCCTTAAAGCACAAAACAATAATCTTTTCAATTCAGCGTCTTCAGCTGTTATAAACAGCCCTTCGGTACATAACTTAGTCAAATTTGTTTAATTAATTCTACAGTTCTAAGCATTGTCATATGGGCTTCAAGCACATTAGGGCTTAGCCCATTTGGGTGATTTTTGTCTGATTGACTTGAGGAGGGGTGGTCGTACAGTAAACCCACATTCGTGAGGAAGGATTGGGCTTTTTATGGCTACTATTGTGCTGTGGCAGCAGTGGTGGGCCCAGCAAAATTGGACCTTTTGGACTGTAACTCTGCAAGCTTTTATAATTTTTTTTCATAATAAAAAACCAACAACAAACTCTCTTTAGCTCAGCTTGAAAAGAGTATAAATAAAAATATATACAAAATTTAGAAATATAATATATAAGATTTTGCACTATACATATTTATATTTATACTCTTCCCAAAGTAAGCCTTTGCAGCAAAAACAAAAGCTTTGTTGTGATTTGTGGGCAGATATGGATTGTCTGCAGATTTGTGACTAGTGTTACAGAAAAAGCCATAGTTGCACCAGTCATCACTATGAGGATTCTTCTTTCATTTTAGCTTAAGCACACTATTTTTGTACAGAAAAAGACTTTATATTGCGCACTAGCAGTTTGCAATTCAGCCGATATTCATTTACACCAAACACTGTCTGACAACAACCTTACAATTTTTATCAAGTTGAAGTCCAACAGATAGCATAAACAAGTATACCCGTTGCAACTTTCAAAAGTGAGTCACTGATATAATAATGTGTTGACGAAAAAAGCATTTTTCCATGTTAAGGAACCTACATTTAGGCTCCGTTTGTTTTTCGGGAAAAGGAGGGGGAAAAGTTGGTCAATTAGAAAGTGGTTCCCATTGATCAACTTTACAGTGTTCTTTTTTCAGTAAGTTCTGGGTCCCACAATAAAGTTAGTTTCTTTGGGTATATCACTTATCCGGGAAAGTGATACCCATCTAATGGATGAATAATTAACTTGCCCACCTAGAACAAAATTTATAAAACATAATGGCACAAGTTTACCCATTTTAACATTGACTTTTTTATTGGAAAAGAATCATTATATATAACTTATCTGGAAATCAATAAAACATGGATAAGTAAAATTGGCTGGGTTTACCTGGGTAAGTGTACTTATGCGGTTAAAAGTGACCTTTTGAAAAATGAACAAGGCCTTACTTCATTGTTCATTTGTTACAAACAATAATAACTATGAATAATAGATCATTGTCAGTTAATTCCACTTAAAATTTGAGTTGCAAGGAAAAATGAAAAAAAAAGAATAATGTTTTCTATGTTAATTAGTGCTGCATTTGATTCATTGAAAAATTGATTATTTCATATGCATTAATTTTTCTTTGTTTTCTCATTTCTTTTTACAGTCATCGTCTTCCTCCATTACAATATTGGCGGTTGGGTGTTTCAAAAGCTAAAATCCTACATGAAACCCTATAAATTCAAACTAAATCCACACAATTATTGTGTTTTGGTTACTTGTATTTCCTACTTTTATTTTGTTTTATGTTTTTGGCTTTATTGGAATCCCTTTTATTTGAAACAAAGGGAACTTCATGCTAAGGTGGTCCAGGTAGTTTCTTTATTGGTGGTCAGAAATAAAAGCTAGAGCTTGACTTTTATTAGAACTGCATATGCACAGCTAAAGTCGTGAAATAAAAGAATATGCAGTTATTCTTATTATAAAAATCAAAATTAATATATAAAAAATATAAAAGTTTTTTATTCCATTGCTTCCGATTTTGGTTCTAACTAGGCCTGTCAATGGATTCTAATTCCCCATTCCATATCAAATCTGATTATCTCATATTTAAAGGTTAGAACTTGCATCTAATTAATATCGGGATCGGATACAGATTTAATTCTATCCTAGTAATTATCAAGGTTTTTAAATCTGACCCGGAGAACGAACCGGTCAGGGGTCTGGTTCCTGGCTCGAATGGTCCAACTGTTCAAACTGAACAGTCGACCCATTCTGTTAAAAAAATAAAAATAAATAAAAAACGGTCAAGACCATTGAATGGTTCAAACAGTTCAACCGCCCGGGTCACTGGTTTGCTAACCAAATCAACATTTTTTTTGTAAATATCCGATTTTCCGGTCTGACCAAATCAACATATATATATATATATATGTTGGTATTATATATAATTATATAAAGTTTATCGCCGATAAATTTAATATTTATATTTATATACATGTATTGAATATGTATGTTAAAAATAATTATTTTTTAATTTATTAATTTTAAACACAATAAAATGAGTGCGATTAAGTCTGAGCCCAATTTGAATCCGACATATTACAACCCTAAATCTGAGTGCTTCTATTTTTAATGATTGATGAATTCAATTTTCTTTCTATTTATTCAAATATTAGACATTTGAGCTAGAGTGGCAATGACCAATTAGTACCCCGTGCCTAGGGATGTCCAACCTGGAACGAGTTTGGCTCGACCTGAACCCAACTCAAAAACATTTTGGGTCGACCCAACTGGACCAAATAAAATGAAAGTCAAAAAGTACCCAACACCCAGGAACCATCTGTGTGCTCAAGGGGTAGAAAAAGACAAGAAATAAAAATATTTCCTATGTTTTGTTCTCTTGTGACAGGGCTACGTGGTGGGCAAGAGCTGTGATGCTAGCATAGCTCAGACCATAATTTATGTGACTGAGGTAGGCAATTTTAGTGGGTGTATATACATATATTTATATATACTGAATATATTTATATATAATATATAGAAAATGTGACAAATTAAAAATATATAAAAAAATACATATACCGGTCGGTTTGATTAATCGTCGGTTTTTTTATAGGTTAAAAAAAATCAAACCAGTCCTTCGGTTTTTCAAAAATCCTGAACTGAAACCAAATTGATCGGTTCGGTTTTTCGGTTTTTTATGGACACCCCTAGTTAAAACTAGAACTGCGTTTGGTAGGAAAGAAAGTGGAATAACAAATAAGAGAAATCCAAAAAGAAAGAAAAATAAGTTGTCAGATATAATTTTTTTTGACCTCTCTCCGCAAAGTAGAGAAAGCAGAGGAAAATAGTGGAGAGTGAGAAGCAGTAAAACCACCTAAGGTTATGTTTGGTTTGATAGAAAGTGAGAAGAGAAACAGAAAGATGAGGAAAAGTTCTTTAAGGAATTTTCGTTCTCTATCAAACCTAACACAGCTTTAAAGAAAATCATTCATCTTTCATTCTTTCTTTTCACCTTTCCTCTTTTTATTTGGTTTTCTTCTCTCGTTTTCTTTGTAACCAAACACAATGAAATGATCTTAAACTGAAACCATTTTTTTTGTGGTTTTAGGCCGAATCTACAACACTGAAAAAGGAGATCAAGAAGAAAATTAGCTGTAGCACTTCTACCATTCTCAACATAAAAACACACTTCTACATTTACATGTACAGACATGCCATTAGTCTGAGCTTCATGAGAAATCATGCTGACTGACCAAGGTAAAACATACCCATACTTACAGAAACATAGTAGTACTGATGCTAGTCACAAGCAGCTGAAGATCTCTAGAAGCTTTTTAGCTGCTTCTGTGCCACTTAGTACTGCACCTTCGACATTTGGACTCACACAGAAATCCCCACAGATGGCTAGCTTCTTCTTCCAATCCCAGAGACACTTCTCCTCTCCGGCAACTTTCATAGCCGGAAATGCACTACCCCTGCAAATGTGTCAGGAATTGATATATATTTGACATTTGAAAAAGCAAGGGAAATTTTATTTTTTTTTCTTGTGATTATTTAGTCTGTTTGGTTTGAAGGAAAAAGTAGGGAAAGGTAGGGAAACCTTTACAAACCTTGTATAGGTTTCCCAATTCCCTACCTTTCCCTTTCTTTCCCTACCTTTTCCTTCAAACCAAACATACTCTCAAGGCTAGTGTGGATGACTCCGGATCTCCTGCCCACGGGAACCCTGTCCACACCTACCCACAATACACCACCCCCCGTGAATTGGGAACATCTCCCCCTGCATAATACTATGCACAGGATGAGATGTTCTCCACGTGTGGCTGTGATAAACATGAGCAGGAGATCCGTTACAAGTGGTTGGTGTAGATGTTACAACCAATTAAAGTGCGACAGATCAGCCTCCTCACATGTGGAAAAACTTGAATTGCGAGACCAAGGGAGGGGTGTTAAGCAAGACTAAGGAGAGGATTGATGCGTCTCCATCTCCTGGTTTATATCAGAGAAAGATGAGGGAGTAATATCACAGGATCACAACTCTTTAATTTGGTTCCTGATGATTTGCAAGGATTATTGAGGGTAAATGGTCCTTGGAAATCATCAGAGAAAGGAACATCGGCTTGGATGATATTGATAATGAATTTATGACACCACAGGTTGACCTATTATGACCCAGATGGTTGAACCACCGACTTGCCACCCAAATGAAAAAGCAGTTCTGTTTCCAAATTGGTTTTAAATACACTGATTTCTACAATCCTTATCTGTGGAGATTCTAAGACAATGTATAATTTTATCCTAGTCCCTTTCGTACAGGTATTATTGAAACCTATAGTCTTTGTATTGGTTCTTTTTATCTTTTATCCCTTTATGGGCATTTCTGTAATTGTACATATTATTTTAATCTAATAGAGGCTCTTTGGGGTGGGAGTCGACTATTCTATTCGACACCCTGAAACTGTTAGTCTTCCTTCTTGTTTGAACTCTCTTGTTATCATGGTACCAGAGCATCTGAGTTGATTCAAGACCTGGGACTCGAAAGGGTGATTCAAAGGGATTCAGACCTCCATTCGAATACACTTTCAAGACCATTTTGAGGGCTGTTTTGATCTGCCCCAGATAACCTGTTTTCTCTGAAAAAGATGCTTACCAGGTGAGTTTTTTTTTTTTTTTTGTGTTTTCTTCCAATTAGCTGTTCTGTTCAGCCTTGTATTCTAAAGTTTGTGTCTCCCTGACCTACTTTAGATGTTCCAATGATTGGTTTGAAGATTTACTTCAATTTGGAAGGGTTTTGATCCCTTCTCTAGCTCTACCGGCTTGCAACCTTTCATATCTGGACTGTTAGTTCTAAAAACTAGTTGTTTGGATAATTACCTTCTAAGATCATATTTCCTTTGGTTGTTGGATATTTATTCTGGAGTTTAGGAGACTTACTAATCAGTTTTACTTGAAGAACTGCTTCTCTTTGCTCATTTTTGGACTTGGACTGTTTCTTGTTATCGTTCTAGACTGGAAACTGTTAACCTATATGGCTGATAAGGTTGATGTCATACCTGTGAAGTTCGATAGAACTAACTACAGGATGTGGAAGTTCCATTTTGATTTCTTTGTTAAGGGAAAGGATCTGGAAGGTTATTTGAATGGTATAGTTACTAAGCCAGATGAAGCTGAAGCAAAGGCTTTTGAGCAATGGAAACTTGACCATGGAAAATTGGTTTCTTGGATCAAAACCCTTTGCGTGTGTTTGGTTGTCAGTGCTATTCCCTGTGTCTTCCTCAGTTATCCATCCTCCCATAAAGGCTACAAATGCTTTGACCCCACTTCCCACAAGTATTTTGTGTTCATGGATATGTCCTTTTTTGAATGCAAGCCATTTTTTCCTACCTCTCCTCAGGGGGAGAATAATGTGTGGGAGCATGTCCAACAGCACATCCATCTTTCCTTCTATCCCTCTTGAGGCTATTGTTTTTATTGCTACTAATGATTGTGTTGATGATCTTGATATCCCAATTGGTCACAGAAAGGGTGTTAGGTCATGTACAACTAAACACCCTATTACTCATTTTTTGTCTTATAAAAATGTATCTCCCTCCTTCCATGCCTTCTTGACTACCATTGATAATGTGTCCATTACCAGAAGTGTTGTAGAAGCTTTCTTTATACCAGAATGGACAAATGCAATGAAGGAAGAAATTAGTGCTCTTCATAAAAACAATACATGGGAGTTGGTAGATCTTCTTGAAGGAAAAGCGCTAGTGGGTGTTACTATGAAACATAAGCTGCTAACTTTGATTATGTAGAAACTTTTTCTCTAGTTGCCAAAATGAACTCTATCTGGGTTCTTCCATCATTAGTTGCTAACTTTGATTTTGAGCTCCATTAGCTTGATATTAAAAATGCTTTCCTAAATGGAGACTTGGAAGAGGAAGTTTATATGATTCAGCCCCTGGGTTCCTAGCAGAAGAGAATGAAGGGAAGGTCTACAAGTTGAAGAAACCCCTATATGGGTTGAAAAATCTCCAAGGGCTCGGTTCAGTGGATTTCACTTGGTCCTTCAACAGAGTTCAAGTAGTGTCAGATTATACACTCTTTGTCAAGAGGGAATAGGAGAAAATTGTATTAATTGTGTATGTGAATGATATAATGATCACTGGACACTAGAGTTCCGAAAATTAGAAGGTGAAAGAACCCCTTTCTATGCAATTTGAAGTCAAGGATCTAGGACCTCTATGGTACTTTCTTGGAATTGAGGTGGCCTGTTCACAAAAGGACATCTTCATTTCTCAAAGGAAGTACTCTCTTATAGGATATTGACAAACTAGGTGCAAAGACAGAAAATTCCCTTATTGGTGCTAATCATAGACTTGGCGATTGTGTTAGATAACTTGTGGAAGATATCAAGAAGTTTCATAGGTTAGAGGGTAAGCTTTTCTACTTGTCAATGACTCGGTCTGGTATTGCCTATGCAGTGGAGTCTCACCGAGTTTATGCATGCTCCTAGGACTTCACATCTGGAAGCTGTAGAGAGGGTTCTCAGATATCTAAAAAAATATACAGGGACTGGTATATTGTTCAAGAAGCATGATCATATGAAAGTTGAAGTTTATACCGATGCTGATTATGTAAGGTCAGTTGATGATAGGAAGTCCACCAATGGGTATTTCACCTTTGTTGGTGGAAACTTAGTCACCTTGAGGAGCAAGAAACAAAGTGTTGTGGCTAGATCTAGTGCTAAAACCGAGTAAAGAGCCATGGCTCATGGGGTTGCTGAAGTTCTTTGGGTAAAAAGTCTAATCGGTGAATTGGGTTTCTCTGCTGATAGCCCAATGTCCCTTTACTGTGACAACAAGGTGGCTAAAAATATTGTTGCCAACCTAGTTCTTCATTATAGAACTAAGGATATTGAATTTGATAAGCATTTTATAAGAGAAAAGAAGGGTGAAGTTTGTACTCCTTATATCAGTTCCAAGGAACAACTTGCAGATGTTCTCAAAAAAGGCCATCACTACCTGCAACACAATGAGTTATGTGACAAATTGAAGCATGATTGACATATATGACCCAACTTGAGGGGGAGTGTTGTAATTCTATTACATATCTTGGCATAGGACTTTTTTGTCTTTTCCTTTATTTTTATTGTATGGCTGCCACCTTAATAATATAAATAGAATCTAAGGTGCCATCAACCCATCCTTTTGGTGCCTTTTCAATACTTCTTCTCCCTCTCTTCTTCCACTTTTTTCTTCTCGTCTTTTCTCCCACTTCAATCTCTTTTCTTCTAGGTTTTCAAATTATTACTAGTCTAACATGACTAGGCAGTATCAAATTGATTCTGAAATCTTTGAATATTGTCAAGGAGACAAGAAAATACAGGAATATTATGTTGGATTTCTGGATTTGTGGGCTGAATATGAGCTAGTACACATTGACCCTTCCCATCCTCCTAAATGTGTTAAGTATCTTCAAAAACACATTGAGAAATGAAAGGTGACTCGGTTTCTCATGAGGCTTAAACCTGAATATGAGATAATCAAGTCTAACATTCTAAGCCAGGGAACCCTTCCACTCTTGGATTCAGTGATGGGGGAACTCCTAAGAGAGGAGACCTGAGTTTTGACTGTAGTGGGGATTGAAGGGAAATTGATGGATTCTAGGTCTGATACTGCTTTTGTTGCACATGGGAATAAGAAGCCAACCACTAAGGACTTTTAAAAAATTCAATGTTTTGAGTGCAAAGGGTTTGGTCATATTGCTTTTCATTGTAAGAAGAAAAATATGTCCACTTACTATAAACAACATGGCCACATTATTCCTATTTGTATAGTTCGATTCGCTAAGGGCGCTCAAAAGAAGAATCAACCGTGTGCATATCAAGTTACTGAGGGCCAGACTTCTAACATGACTACTACGTAGGTGAATCATTTATATCTTTCAATGAAGAAAAGATTTAACATCTGCTATCCCCTCTACTTTTTTTGCCATTGGCTTGTATGGTAATTCCTTTGCCGATTGTTCTTCACCCTCACATGTTTGGATTATTGGTTCTATTTCCACCAACCATATGACTGGAGCATATCCCAATCACCCAAGTCACCTTACTAAAACTCATGATAAACACATAGTGACTACTATTGGTGAAAAAGTTAAGCATCATTGGTAGTAATGACATATTTCTGAAACTTTCACCCACTATGTCCTTCCCTCTTTCAATGAATTTTCTTGTTCTCAATCTTACTACAAATTTATTTTTTGTTGGCCAACTTGTTGATTAAGGAAATATTATCACTTGTTCTCATAATGGTTGTTTGATCCAGGACCGGCACACTAAGAAGGTGAAAGGGAAGGGGCATAGGTTGGGCCATCTATTTGCATTGAAGTTTGAGAAATCTACACTAACAACATCCTTGGCTTATCTTAATTCTTCTAAATCTAGTTTTGTTGAGTCAAAGAAATAAAGTCTGGGATTTATGGCATAAAGATTGGGTCATCCTTGTTTTGAAAACTTGAAGACTTGTCTAGTTCGAGTTTAATCATGAACAAGATTCCTCTTGTTCATACTTTTGATGTTTCAAGTACAATTGCCTTAACACAAGTCATATTTTTACCTATGTTTCACAAATCTAAGCATGCTACTTCACCTTTTGAGATTATACATAGTGATGTTTGATCCGCTATCATTGCCTCATAGTTAGGATACAAATACTCTGTATTGTTTATTGATGATTGTACCATGTATACGTGAATTTGCTTCTTGCGGCACAAATAAGAAGTTTTCACAACATTCAAGTTGTTTTATGCTATAGTACAAGTCTAGTTCAAGGCTAATATTTGTATTCTTTGCTTAGACTTAGGGGGAGAATATACAGATGGAGACTTTTACGCTTATTTGAGGAGTTATGGCATTCAGTCTCAACATAGCTATCCAAACACTACTCAACAGAATGGTATAACAGAACGCAAGAATGACCATGTCCTTTTGGGAAAAGGCAGCCAATTCAATTGTATATTTAATCATTCTCATGAATGTACTAAACTAATTGCTCAGTTTGCTATGTGTGCCTTTGTGGGATACAATCTTGACTGTAAAGGCTTTTTGTGTTATGATCATAGAATTTTGATTTAGAGGATGTTCTTCCTCATCTCCTAGAAATGATATACCTTCCTCAAATACCTCTATTTCACCTACTAGTTCTTCTATTCCATTCTACTTGTATTTCTCGACCTCTTGGCCACTATGGTTTCTTTCCAAGCCATAGTTCCTATTTTGCTATTTTATCCTCCACTGATATCCTTCGATCTTACCAGCAAGCCATTACGAGTCCTCATTGGAGAGAAGCCATGGATATTAAGATTAAGGCTCTTCATGAGAATGACACTTGGGATCTTGTACCTGCTCCCTTAAGTGCTTCCATCGTTGGGAGCCATTAAGTTTACACCATCAAGCTAAAATTTGACAAATCCCTTGGTTAATATAAGGCTCGCATAGTTTCCTAGAGCTATAGTCAGGAGTATAGCATTGATCACGAAGAAACCTTTGCTCCAGTTGCTAAGATCACCACAATTCGTGTTCTCTTAGCATGATCTGCCATCCAATCTTGGACCATTTACTAGCTAGATGTTAAGAATGCCTTCCTTCATGATCAACTGAAGGAG